TTTCTCAAACCTGACGAGTCTGCGGAATCTGCATAATAGGAATCCTTTGGTTTTCGTTCTACAAAATCGCCTCCCCAATGAAAGAGCTTGAAGAATTTGAAAATGGAATGTTTTCTATTATTCAAAATGTTACGTTTAACAAATGCCAAAACGAATTTCAGAAAACCCTTAAGAAAGACTTAAATAACATTCGTAGTGAAGATAAAGTTTCAGTGTCCGCAGATAAAACAACAAACTTTTACAAGCCTCTTCATACGACAAATTGCTTGGTAATGCTATAACGAAGTCCTACAAGAAAGCAAACGCGAACATTACTTCCAATATAGCAAATGAGGAAAAGATTATAGCTGAGAATCTTGGACTTGCCAACCGAATCGACGCATTAGCACCCAAAAACAGCTTCGTAACATTGAAAGATCACAAACCAAATTTTCAGAACAATCCAAACTGTAGACTAATGAACCCTTCCAAATCAGAAATCGGTGTCATCCGTAAACAACTCCTGCAAAGTATCAATTCAATTATTGTGATCCATACTATTCTGATCCATGCGAGCTAGTTGGTTTATTCCTACTATCCAAACTTCCTCCAGATTATCGAAATGATATTGGTCTCTACAGAGATAATGGCCTTGCAGCGTTTGAAAAACAACCGAGAGCAATAGAAAATATTAAGAAACAAATTTGCAGAACTTTTAAAGAACATAATTTAAAGATTACAATCGAAGCTAACAAAAAATGTGTCAATTACCTAGATGTCACATTTGTGCTAAGAACTTCCACATGTAACAAACAGAACGGCTACGTTTGAAGAAGTTTATTAAAAAAAGGTATATTAAATACAAAAACTAAATTTTCGGCTGCATGCCACAGCCTTCTTCAGAGTGTCTATAGCTTTACACAGAACATACTTATATACAATAAATTATGAATCCACTTTAAGTGTCTTTCGTATTGTTTTGTGGTTGCTTCCACTGATATCTCCAATTTCCAGTAAAGCTCTGTTGTTTTCTAACAACCTGAAGTTAATATAGCCTCCAAAACTGGACAGCTTTCCTTTAGTGAAGTCAATGGTTTTACCACTGCCACTCCTTTCGCCAACGATTTTGTAATAACTGTCTGGATTTGCAAGGTTCTTTCTAAGTTTCTTGTCATAGTTTTCCTGCTTGCGATAGGACTCCATCTGTCGTAGTAGCCCGCCTGTTAAGAAATCTGCAGCTCCTTCTAAAACACCTTTTTCCAAAGCCCCCAAGAACTGTAACCCAGCCCAGGGGCTTTTCCAATTGACCTTCTCCATTTCGCCCATTATTTCAATGTAAAAGTCGTCGATAGCCATTCGTATTATCGAAAGGTAAATGATGAGAGGCTCGGTAATAACTTCTGCTTCTGGACAGAATGTGCCGATGAGGTTCAACACCGTTGTTGATATGTCCAGACTTAAATCGATTATACGTAGTGGCAGCAGTTTTACATCTTCAGCGTCATTGAAGTTTAAGTTGGCCAGTTCTTCTATGTCTTGCTCAACAAAATAAACATCAAAAGCAAGTCCAACTACAGGAATTGCCCCAAGCAATTTGCCGACTCCTTTTTCCATGTACCTTTCCACTTTGGTAGAAAATCTTTCCAAACCTTTCTCTAAATTTAAACCTTTCGCTACGTTTTTTGCTGCTCTTCTTAGTAAGTGCCTGCCAACTTTTGTCGCGACTTCGTTAATACCTGTTAAATCTCCAAGTGTGTGGACAGATTGAGACAAAGTAAAGGTTCCACGGACATTATCGCCTTTAGAAAAATAGTTCATTGCTCCAAGAAACGAAAATATTAATCCATGAACAGCCAACCCTTTGTTGATCTTTGCATAAGCCTCAGGAGCTCCTGCAAAATGGGATTTAGACATATATTCCTTAATAAGCTTAGGCGTTGCTAAGTCAATTGATTCCAACGAAATCTTTCTGTGACTTCTTTTCTTCGCATCACGACGACTTACCAGATCAAACTCTACGTAAGAATCGGTAATTTTGATAGATTCTTCGTCAACTGTGACCCTAACTCTATCCTCCAACGCACAAGAAGCTCTTTTCTCACGCGGTCGTTTTTGTCTGCAGAACTCACGCTTAACTTCTTCTTGTACAAATTCTTCGTCGTGTTCTTTGGCTGCTCTATTCCGAATTAACCATATCCCAACCACTTTGTTGCCCTGATAATGCAGTTGTTCACGGCCTTTTTGAGTTCCCCTTTCATTTCGCGCAGGAAAGTTGGTTTTACTAAATGCATCGTGAAATTTTTGGCCCTCTTTTACATCTTGAAGCATATTCCTTACAATTTCATCCATTGTCGGACTTCGGCCTGACTTGGGTTCAATTTCTGCAAGACTTGGCATACCTTCCGATTTAGGAAACCCCTCATCATTGCCTCTTATTTGTGTTGCAAGTTGTTCTATAAATGCGGTTTTGGTCTTTTCAGAAGGCTGTGCAGCTTCAGCAATCATGGAAATAACCATAAACTCTACAGTGGCCCGAATAGTATTCTTTGCATTTGTAACTTCCAGGTTGGCCGAAAATAGTGGCTGGTTATTTAGCTTGCTGTCTATCGCTTCTAACATATTTGTGGCAAGTGTCTTATGGTTTTAAAATTTTTTGAGAACAACGTCGACCATTGTGTCATATTTTGGATACCAAATATCTTTTGCAGCTCTTGGCGTTGAACCAGGCCAATCTTTGTTAGAGGTTGAGACCACTATCTGATGTACACCACGCCACGAGGTGGCTAACCGAAATTTTCTTAATTCGCCTCCAATTGGAACTTCAAACGTCGTTGGTTTGTTTTTTTTATCTTCGTATATGTCAGGATAGAACTGTAATAATTTAAATACTTCCTTCAACGATAATTTGTCTGTTTTGACAATTTCAACTCGATTCGAATCTTTGAATTCCTTGACTATGCCTTCGTTTTTGAGCTATTTCCACTCCTCAATTACACTTTCTTTGCTTCTTATCATACTGGCTGCAAGTGCGAATCTCAGCTCTGTCTTATCACCTTTAATTTTGTCAAGCTCCTCTTGAATCGTCTTTCTATCGACATCAGGATCGTTTTGTTGTGTTTCCAGTAGCAAGAAAAGTGTTAGAAACAGAGCCAACACGAGGTGAGCCATTTTCATAATTGGAATGGTTTTCCTCACTTAGCTATCAAGGTCCTAACAAAAATAACAATACCGGAATATCAAACAATAACAATGTTATGAATGTCAATCCTAACTCAGTTTATTTTGTCTGCTAATTGCAACTGTCACTCTAGACTACTAAAAAGTACACAATTTTGAAACGTTCTTCAAGTTCCCAAATCCGTTTCTGTTACGAAATTTTGGTCAATATAGATTTTCGCGCCTTTATAAATGTAGTGTAAACCAGAAGTCTTAATATACTGTACACCAAAAGTCATATTGTATCTGTATACTGCTATTTGTTAACATTTCTGATACTTATCACATATAAATTATTTATCTAAACCTAGGCGCCCTACAGCTTTACTTAAAAGTCCAATAAGATTTCCAAAGGTTCCTAGCCCATTATTCCATTGTACATATTATAAATAATTTTGTAAATTTTATCTTTTGTATGCAGAAAAATGTATTTTTTAATAGCAGTAAAAATAGCATTTTATATATACTTTATATACACCCTAACACCTCCACTACGGCATATTTTATGTATCTTGTAGTTTTGGTGCGTTTTCGCAGTTAATTATGCATTTCGCTCGCTTGTAGTCTCTTGCAACACGAGTTAGAAGTGAGTTTTTTACCAGATTTACACACACATTTATGTACCTTGTTACCAATGTAACACAATCTCCATCATCAAATAATAATAATAATAATAATAATAAACTGTTTATTACAAACAAATCATCTCGCAGCCCGGAGGCTGAATTACATGATTTTTACAATAACAATATTATATTAAGAAATATATAATTTACAATTAGATCTTACTGAGGATAAAAATACTGAGGTAAAATATTATAAATGTAGAATAAAAAAAACTATAATTAGACTAGCTCTAAGAGACTTGATATAATGTAAGTGTTTTTAAATCTATTGGTATTACATCTTGGAATATTAAAAAAGTTTGGATTTCTTAAGTTCTAATTATTTGTATGCTTTGTAGGTAAGAGATGGTGAATTTTATGATGTTTGTCATTCACTATTGATTTGAAGTCTTTGGTGCATAATCCTTTCCTTCTTGTCTTCAAAGTTTCCATATCTAATTCTTCAATGGCTTCTGATACGCCAAGTCCAAGTATAGGTTAAAGACGTCAGCGAGTAGTGGTCCAAGTGGAAGCACTATTCAAGATGGTGGTGTATTTTAAGCTCTCCTAAATTTTAGAAAAAAATCATTTTTATGTTATTTGTTCGTGTCTTTTTGTCCATTGTATTCTGTTTAAATTGTTTAGTAATGTCAAACCTAACTGTAGAGGACTTAAACCGCGCTTTAGAAGAGAAATTAGAACGACTTACGAAGAAAATTGAAGAAACAAATACAGCGATTACGTTTATAAATCACAAATATAAGGAAATCTTATAAAAAGTATCAGCTTACGAATCGGAAAGAAAAGAGCTTATGAACGAGAACAAATGTCTTAAGAGCGGTTGTCTGTAATAGTCAGGTAAGACGTGTAAAATGAGAAAATTCAAAATCCTTCAAACTTTGTCAGAATATAGGCCTATATGAAGTATTAATGTTGTGAAAGTTTTATTTCGATCGGATAAATATTGAAGGAGAGAGACGTCGAAATTGGTTTTCCCAGGCCACTTTCGATTTTTAGAGGTCATTTTACGCGGCACTACCAAAATCGCTCTATTTTGCGCGTTAATGGGAATATTTCACAAAACATGATTTCGTTTTATAAATTAGAGATATTTATTGATTAGCAGACGAAATTTAGAGACATTTCTGTAAAAAGTGAATATTTTACAGATTTTCTTAATATTTTTTTTATTTTCGAACCTCTTTATTATATGTCATACTAGGCAGCGAATATCTCTATTGTTACATCGATTCAGACCAAAAATTCACAACCAGATCAAAGAAATATGTTTTCCCTTGCTATTGATCAAATAAAATTTTGGGGCAACTTAGAATTGAATTTTTAACGAATTTTTTCATAACCCCTATTTGACCGGAATAACCGTATGTCAATATAATCATCGTCGAGTCATGTAGTTCAATAAATAACCAAAGAGCTCGTCAAAAGCGTTTATTTCTTCGAGTAAACAAGCCTAGGCCTATAAAACTACCGTATCTAAAGCTGTACGATTGGCTGAAAGCATTTAGGTCTAAATCACACTGTTTACAGTCGCTTATTGTTCAGCTAATGCCCGATAGCCGGTGCCGCTCATTTGGCAGATTTGGTTTCAATTATATTTTATCAGGGATATGCCGCGATAAGTATAGCGAGTATATTTTCTCTCCCCCTCCCATAAACTCGTGGTCTCACATAAATAGTGCACACGCTTTTTGTAAAAAATATAGGCCATTTGCAAGGTCATACGATGGAAACGTCGCATTGTTTTGACGTTTTTTAGTCGTATTTCCGGTTGGGATAGCTCACGCGATTGTCTGAACAAAAATATAGACTAGCCATACCTTTCGCCAAAAATAACTTCGATCCCTTCAAACATATCGTCTTTGTAATAGTCTTGTTCGAATCCCCATCAAAAACACTATTTAGAGCGTTATTTGCAAGCCTGTATCTTCAAATTTGCATCTTTTATCACGGTATTTCCATTTCTTGTCCGGCTGTGAGCTCGGGGCTCGAGGTAATTTGATAGTATACGATGGCATTTGACTTTCAAACTCCCATAAATCGCTACAATGTTAATAATGACTATCACTATCGTTCGGAATTAGTTGATCTTTTATTTCTGAATCGAATGGTGGTATTTCTGTCTTCATTGGCATAGCATGTACTGATCCGAAGATATAAAATTTCTAGCCGTCAACCTCTCGAGGACGACCTCGCCAAGAGTTTTAATTTAATTAATATTAAAGCTGGATTCTTTCACCGTGATGTCATGCCAAAAGGTGTCTTTTCCATTTGTTAAAAATAATTTAAAAAAGATCCCGGCTCTATATATTGATTTTGTGATTTGGTAATATTAATTACAGTT